TTTAGTGATGGGATTGTTGAACAATCTGATGGCCAGTGGGAGACAACTATTTCTGAGTCTGGCTGTTCTGCAGCGGATGCTGCAAATTCTCCTGCCAGATGCCAACCAGATGAACAGACCATGGAGAGGATGGGTGGAGTCAGAGAGGATCTGGTTTGCTCTGGATAATCAATGTGTGCAATGTTCTGGATATTGAGGAGTGGAGTTCCAATGATCCTCTCCACTGTCTTCACTTCAGTAGAGACTTCCAGTCTGAGGCCTTGCAGCTCCCAGACCAGCTGGAGATACTGCTTGTCAGCAGGCTCTTTCCACCATCTGCACCTTCTGGTGGAAGGAAGCCGTTTCCATTCGTCTCAGAAAGTGCAGGCGCTGCTGTGCCTTTTTCACCAGTGAAATGATGTGAGTTGTCCAGCTGAGGTTGTCTGTAATGTGAACCCCCAGGAACTTAGTGATGATGACAATCTCCATTGCTTTGTCGTTANTGAGGACAGGTGTGTGGTTGGGTCGAGACCTTCTGAAATCGACAATGATCTCTTTTGTTTTATCGACTTTCAGGAGCAGGTTGTTTATTCTGCACCAGTCCACAAGATATTGTACCTCTTTTCTGTAGTTCACTTCATTGTTGTCCTGAATTAATCTCACAGTTGTTGTGTCGTCTGCATATTTCATGATGTGGTTGGTGTTAAACCTGGGACGACAGTCGTGGGTCATCAGGGTAAACAGCAGGGGGCTCAGGACACAGCCCTGAGGGGAGCCAGTGTTTAAAGAAATTACATTGGAGGACAGACTGAGTTCTGTCAGTGAGGAAGTCCAACAGCCAGTTGCACAGTGGAGCATTGAAGCCCAGGGAGACCAGTTTGCATACCAGATCCTGAGGAATGTACGTATTAAATGCTGAGCTGAGGTCCAAAATCAGCATCTGTATGTGGGTGTTTCTTTTCTCCAGGTGTACCAGGCTCAGATGAAGAGCAGTGGAGATGGCATCTTCAGTCGAGCGGTTAGGTTTGTATGCAAACTGGAATGGGTCAAATGATGGAGGCAGTATAGAGATTATGTGATCCTTAACCACTCTCTCAAATCACTTCATGATGATAGATGTTAATGCAAGTGGTCGAAAGTCATTAAGACATGTGATGATTGGTTTCTTGGCTATTAAGTCAGCTATTAAGCTGACTTAAAACATGAAGGGAACATGAATATGAATGTTTTGGTACAGTGACGTACTGAAGATGTCCATGAGCACACGGGTTAGCTCAGTGTTTCTCCAGGGATTTTTGCACAGCAGATGTTTCGAGCCTGGGGGCCTGTTCATCAGGGAGAAGGGTAGCTTTCTTTGCAGGGGTTTTATTTAGGGCTTCAAATCTTCCAAAGAAGCTGTTGGAAGCTAATGTCATCCTGTCAAGATGGAGATGTGGTTTTATAGTCAGTCACAGACTGGGTGCCCCGTCACAGTTGTCTGTGGCAGGGCATCATGAAAGAAACCTTGGATCTTTTGACTGTAGGCATGTTTTTCCTGCCTTGATGGTATGGTTTAGATTGGCCCTTGATGATCTAAGTGCGTCCATGTCACCAGATTTGAAAGCAGTATTACGCTCCTTCAGTCTAGTATATAATCATCCAAGGTTTCTGGTTGGCCCATGTGACTATTGACTTTGTTGCTGTAACCTTCTCCATACACTGTTTGATGTAGTTTAACATAGATGCTGCATACTCCTCCAGGTCCATGTGTTGGTTGTGTGTAGCGGCCTCTCTGAACATGCCCCAGTCTGTGCACTCAAAACAGTCTTGCAGTGCAGACATAGCTCCCTCAGGCCACATTCTCACCTTCTTTGCCACTGGCTTTTGTCTGGTGAGCAGGGGTTGGTATGCTGGGATGAGCATAACCGAAAGATGATCTAAAGAGCCGAGATGGGGCCGGGGGATTGCTGTGAAAGCTTTATTGATATCGGTGTAGACCACATCCAGTGTGTTTTCCCCTCTGGTTGGAAAATCCACAGGTTGATGGAAAATAGGAAGAACGGTCTTTATGTTAGCCTGGTTAAAATCTCCAGCAACAATAAAAACACCCTTCTGGGTATATGGATTGTCTGTCACTGATGGTAAGGTAAAGAGTACTCAGTGCTTGGTTGATGTTGGCACTGGGCGGGATGTAGACAGCAAAAATAACGGTCGTGAATTCCTGGGGTAGGTAAAAAAAAAGTCTACATCCCACTATCATGAACTCAATGTGTTCCAATATGTTCCTAACAGAGCGCTTTGCTCTCAGGCTGCAGATTTTTGTGGTTCCTAAAAAGTAGAATGGGAGGCAGATTCTTCAGGTATCAGTCTCCCCTTCAGAGGTAATTAAGCCATTTCATTTCAGTGTTTTGTACCTGTGGCACATCTACAAACTGCAGGACAGTGGCCCTTGAGGACTGGAGTTTGACACTAAGGTGTCATGATTCTTGGGTTTTAGTTTGTGTTTTTTGTTATGATGCATAGTTTTTGCGTTATTAGTTTTTTTCTGGAAGGTCTGTTTTCATAAATTATTCTGCCATTCCCCTTCCTGAATAGTTTATTTTGGTGTTAGACTATGAAAAAACTTAAACTTGAATAAACTGTCAGGTTTTTTTTTACTTCTTGCTCATCAGGTTTTGTCACAGGTAAAGTAAGGTAATTTTATTTATATAGCACATTATATAGCACAACAAAGTGCTTTACATGAATTCAAAGGAATACAAACAAACTAAGTCATGACACTCACCTGTTTTATCTGATATTTAAATTCCTGGCTTTTCTTTGTTCATTCCTGAGTTCTGTGTTCTGATTTGCTCAGTTTCTTGCTTATGCTAACCCTATGTCTATACTTTTTTAAGAACTTCAGCTGATTCCAATTGTCTGCACTGTGGTCCCCCAACACCTCAGCTATTTATGTAGGCAGCCAGTGTGGCATAGTTACTTTGAAAAAGTAACTTAAATTACTGATCACTTGAAAGTAACTAAGTTGGATTACACATTACTTTTTCAGCGGCTGCTGACAACAACCCTCTGCCACCTCTTTTGTATAAAAATTACATTGAGCTTTGCCAATACTTACTTAATTGCTAGTTACTTTATAATGCTAACATCAACAATGGATCTTTTACTTTTATGTTTACTTTTTTGTTATGTTTCATGTCCATGTTAACAACATGAGGCATGGTTAATAAAAATGGCTTCATGACATGTTAAAATTGTCTCATGGATTTTAGTTAATGTGTTCTTTGCAGTTTCTGTACAATAAATCTACTGATCTATTGATCAGTAGACACAGAGGTATATACAAATATAATTTATGTTTCTGTCCCATATTTGTATGACATTAAGTGGAGTACCCGAACTTGTTGCCACTGAACACCGAGTTGAGAAACCAGAGCAGATACTACTTCTGCTCTACCAGAACTAATAATGTGAATTGCAGTGAGAATGGGTAATTCAGCCTGAAATCTTACCTCGAACATAAAGGTTAGCAGGACTAGAAAAGCGAGTACCAGCGCTGTTCACAGCTACACATTCATACTTGCCCTGGTCAGACTCATCACTGTTTTCAATCTGAAGTGCTCCTGAGAAGAGAGGTAAATATATTATAATTCAGATCTACATTACATAGTGATATACATGCACATAAATACAAAGACTTTAAAGTTTGAAGTGTCACTGACAAAACTTTGAAACTATGCATAAATTGTTATACATTTTAGAGCAGCACCGATATTAATATCTGTATCCTCCTGATATTGACAAAAATTACAGATCGGGTTTAGGTGACAACGGGTCTGATCCATAAGATCCAATTCAATCTAATTACGCCATGTGCTCTGCTGAAGTGTGGTGCACACCACCACCGCAATGTAAAGCATATGATATACAGTATACCCAATATTTGCGCACTTATGTTATCCGTAACCAGAATTTGAAATGAATTTAAATGGCAAATTTTACTTTATTTTGAAAAACTAACACCCAGCATAACACCGGCTCCTGCCTGTTCAGCCTGTTTCAAGGGTTGCAAGGGAAAACCTAGAGTTGATTATTATACCGGGATCTATTAGCTATACACATGGTTTTACTTTGGTTTTGGACAATATGTTTTATGTTGTAAGTAAGCACATGACTCATTAACATCTCCATTAGAACAAAAATATGCTTTGGAGATGACAACATTCACCATAAAAGACACCAGACAAGAAAACACCAGTAATAAAACAATTAAATCTGGAGAGACTAATTTATATGATAGGAGGAATTCAAATCTAAAAGACTATGTTTCTCAAGGTGAGTTGCATAGCTTCCATTGTTTTTAGAACACTATTATTAGCATTGAACAGGAGCTGGTGGGGAGCGGCATCTGTAACACCAAAAATAAAATAATTATTTACGTCGGGTCTTCTTCTACCCTCAAGGAAAACATTGTCTAATATGTTACATATTTTTTCCACTTATTTGAGGAAATCCCTCCATTATGTACTTAGGTATGGTTAAATTCCACAAGGGCTCAGGGTTCACAGATGATTCTGTAACAAAAGCTAACAAGACAACAGCTCACAGTCTTAAAGCGTTCCAGGATTAGTTGAACATGTTGACCTAAATATGTTGTAATTTAACTATAAGAATGCTTTATGTGATACACCAAAACTTCATAATAACTTCAAAAATGTACATCTTTTGTTATATTTTTCACTGATAAAGGTCGCCATTTCTAAACCTGCTGGGTTGATGGGTTTAGTGCATTCTGTACTGGAATCTATAGAGTAAACACAGGAACGCTAACTTTACCTGAGTTGTTGTTTATCATATTATGTTTTACTGATGTAATTTTAGATAATGCCACAATCCTGGCAGTAATAAAACAATTAAATCTGGACAGACTCAGACAGAGAGAAACGACGATTAAAATTGTTTATTGATATGAATGAATTAAAGTTCTTTGGCGCTCGGATCCCGGCAGAAGACAAGGTGTTGCGAAATGCAATAAGCTTGGATGAGCATTTCCAATGCAGATTAGGGATGTCTTCCCCCTGGGCCCACTCACTGGTGGTGGAGGTCCTAGAAGGTTGGAGGCATGGAGAGCCAAGACCGTGGAGGTGGAGATGGGGTGGAGGTCGGTTGAGCATGGCTGGAGAGCGGGTGCCGCCACGGCTAAAGGTCCTTATAAACGGGAGCACGATCCGTGATTGGCAAAGAGAGGGCATGGTCCGATGCCGATAGGTTGACAGCAGATGAGGCGGTGACTGGATTGATCCAGGTGAGGCTGGAGAGTCTTCCAGTTTAAATTTACACCTAGACTTCATTTCAATCTGGAGAGACTCAGACGTAGAGAAACAACAATAAAACAATAAAAGGGTTTATTGACATGAATATTGACATGAGCTTCTTTGGAGCTCGGACTCCGGCACTTCCGGGGTCTGAAATGATGTGACATTGTGTTGTGAAATACAGTGAGCATGGATGACCATTTCCAATGCATATTAGGGATGTCTTTCCCCAAAAGTGAGAGCTGAGACCGATGCCGAGAGGTGGTGAAAGGGGCTGAGAGAAGGGACTAAGCTAAAACAGTACCTACGAACAGGACCTTAGGAATCTGAAGTGTTTTGGGTAGTTAGGGATCACAGTGTGGTGTTACAGAAAGGATGGTGGTGACTGAAAACAGAGAGACCCGCTGACTGGATGATTTAAATGACCTAAAATGATGCAATGCTGGTTGATGAAGGCCAGCTTTTGGGGACGCCATGATGTTGCAAAGTGACATGAAGTGACATCATATGTGTTGGCTGCCAGTGGTAAATAATTAGTATTAAAATAGTTTAGACAGAATCATATATTAGGCAACATGCACATTAGAGCGGGAGATGATATTGCTTGATGCTTACTGATAATTCCTCTATGCTGTACAAGATCGTAATATAGAAATATTACACAGTTATAAGAAAAACTGAACTCAAGACCTGGAAACATGAGGAATAGGAAGGCTCACTATTGATCTAGCTTTTTCCTCTAAAACTGCAGATAAATCACTCAAATCTGAAATCATTCATAACTTCTTCCACATCTGTTGTTTACGTTTTGGGTTACCTTCACAATTCCTAAAGAAGATCACTTCACCGCTTTGCAATGCCAAGGAATTTGTAGTAGTCTCTGAGAAATATTTCTTATTAAAAGCTTTCCCAAACTTTTTCAAGCTGAGGACCACTTAACCCAAATGGTTTAGCAATTGGTTTAAGTTCTTGGACTACCTAACTTGAAATTACCCCCACAATAACACAACATTTTAATATATATGAACTGAAATTAATTTATTAGTCTTTTAACTCACTTATTGTTGTCTTCTTTGTTCAGCCTAATGAGAAGAGTGGTGCTGTTTTATAAATGTGCCACGACAAAACAACTCAAGGTGCTTGAGTAGATTACAGGCTTTCCACATGGAAATCAAAAAAGAAGTTATTTTCTACTATCGTATGCATTAATAACACAATAAATAACATTTAGGACTATTTGTAATCTATAGGCATAATAAAATGAAAATATACATGAGTTGCTTTGAAAAAAAATAAAATAAAAATTTCTTTCAGCATGAAGAAAGCAAATTATTTTATTTCAGGTTTTAAAATGAAAACCTGAAATAAAAGTGGTGTACACAGCTGCTGCCCCAGGCCAGGCATACTTAAATCTGTGGTATGTTTAAAAAAAAAGTTCAACAAGTCACCTTGAGAAACTGAACAATATTCCTGTAGACACGGTCGTATAAGTGTATAAGAAGTCTCGGCAATGTTTTCTTTCCACTGGCATCTTTAGCTTGGGATTTAAGACAGTTTGCTTAGCCCTTGTATGTTGAAATGAGGTCCAACCGACCCCACACACGTAAAACCTGTATCATTTTCCATAGACCTACATTTGCCTCAGTCCTCCCACGCACAAGGGTTAAGACGCAGTCTTAAGCCATTTTCCATTATCATTTTTAAACATAGTCATTTGGTAAGTTAACAGTAAATGTTAGCTCGAGTCATGGCAAGTAAACGGTTGTTGACTACCAGTGGTCAGGGGACCACAGTTTGAGAAATTTTATTTCACCCAGATGTATGGAGAGTGACAACACAGTAGTTTATCATTTTTAAATTATATCTTGGTTTTATGGTGTCACAGACTCTTTAAACTTTAGAACCAATTATCAAGAAATAAAACAAATAGAAAGCTTGGTATCATCTTAAGCTTTGAAAACTACCAAACAGACATGGGATCAGTTTTTACTTATGTGTGATTATTTCATAAAGTAGATATGACATGACACATTTGGGTTTGTGATTTTTTATTTTATTTTGAATTATCACGCTGAGTCTATATTTGTTGCAATAAATGTTTATAAATGAGTTTGACTTGATTTTTATTTGAAGTTAACGGATATAACACGAGATTAACAAGATTAAGGTTAATAAACATTTTTGCAATACAGTAAAACTGTCTGGGAGTTTGAACTGAAAGCGCAACAAACCAAGACAAGTCTAAAATTGACAAAAATAAAATCATAATAAAAATAAAAGCCTTTTTTAAACCATCTGTAAACTGAGCTGACTGTACACTGAACTAGGATGTCAATACAATCATTCAGTTTAGACGATGCAATTACATTCACCAGTTTCTCTACATTACACAGGAAGATAATTTTAGCATTTTGAGGTCTTAATTATGTGACTTAATTTATGTATTCTTCTTGGACACATCTCCAGTAAATCTGATTCAGGAGTTATTGTGCCAAAAAAAAAAAAATATATATATATATATATATATATATATATATATATATATATATATATATATATATATATATATATATATATAGTGATGATTCGACAGACAAGCATCTGTTGGTTTTGGCTTCTGGAACTTAAAGCCTAGAAACAACTAAATTCAACTGATTCAATTGTCTAATCTGGATGGATGGATGGAAACTTTATTCATCCCTTTGGGATTTACACCAATACATCAAATCCTTAAACATTTTTTTAACATTTAGCCTGATTCTATAGTTCCTCTGTACTCCTGTTAGCCAGTGAGGAGTTGAAGAGTTTTATTGCACGAGGCACAAAGGAGTTCCTTAGTCTGTTGGTCCTGCATTTTGGAAAAAGCAGTCTCCCAATGAACCTGCTTCCCTGGCTGCTGATCACAATGTGCAGAGGGTGGCTGGTGTCCATAATATCTTCGAATTTCTGTAGGGTTCTCCTCTCTGCCACTGCTGTCAGAGAGTCAAGCCTTGTAATTCAGTAAATCATCAAACTCAGCAAAAGTCTCTCAAGGACTCAGAACTGTGTGAAAGCCGAACATCAAAAAGATAGAAAATGATTTAAAAATATTGTTGAAGATAGTAGAGCAGGGATCAGTGACATTTTTTCAATGTATAGAATATACAATTTAAAATGAATAATAATATACCTTTTTATTGCTTCTATTAAGTGTCTTTAAAAAATTTAAGCAGAGATGAGCTTCTGAAATTCACTAATTCACCACAGCTGGAATGGAGATATGTTTTTATGACCATAAACATAAAGTGCTGTTTCCCGTACTTTTTGTTCAACATTAAACAAAAAGTCAACCCAGAGGGGTTGACTTTTTTGTGGTGATTGGTGGTCCTACAGAATTCATTTTCACCATAAATTTTCTTCTGCCAAGGGAAAAAAACTTTTTCAGGAAGTAAGTTAAAGTAAATATTGGCTTACTTGTATTCTAATTGTTCTAGAAAAGGTTCTCAGTTTAGTTAGCTAAACAAGTAATATGTCAAGTTGATTAACTTATTTAAAGAGGCAGTACTCTGTATATTTCAGGCACATAATGTAATTTTATATCACAATCAAGTTACCTTCAGTTGTTATAAAATGACAACTGAAGGCTTTTAAGTCACGTAAAATATATTTACGTGACTTAAAAGAAATTTGACTTTGCAATTGGGCCTCGGTGTCTTTTAAGAAGCTCTTGTCCTTTCTGACACTCCAGCTTCTGCAAGTCATCATAACATTCCTCTACCATTCTCAGTGAAATGCATTTTAACTGCATTTCACTGAGAAGTAGTGAAATGCTTGAGCTCAGCCATTTCTGCTAATTGTGAACTTGTATAGTCTATGCAGTTGACGTTTTATTTATTTTTTGCTGTTGAGAGTTTATTTTTTTATTCATGTTTGTGAATTAAGGAAAGACTTGTTTTAATATCTACAGTGCCAAGTACTGTATCTATGATAAACAAGTACTGAGATGAATAAACACTGAGTTCAATAATATCTTTGAAAATCGTATCCCAGTACATAACAGTGAATGAAAAATGAAGTAAAAACTTCTTTATAGTCTAAAAATTGGAAAAGTCAAACACAACGTTGCCGGTGTAAGTAAAGAAAAAAAACAACTGGTTTTGTTTTTAATATTTTACACTTTACATTTTTAGTCACTATATGTGACCACAACCTGAGATAATAAGTATAATAAATACACGGTATAATAATATTTTACAAGATTTATCAAATCACAGTGATTTGAAAATATGGTTAGCTGTTATTGTTAGGACTCTGTTAACATTTATGTTAAAGGTATTTATTTCCATACTTCCTCCCTTTGTTTAATCTTCCTATAAATCCAGTGGAAAGGAGGTGTCTGGTGAAGGCAGAGCAAGTGTTAAACTGAGGACAGAACGAAGAATGAGGACAGAAATGAGATAATGAGGATTAAGGTAAAGGAAGGGGAGAGTAAACAGATTTTTCTTTACATGCTATTCTTACCTCTTATTGGCGTACCACCTGTGAGGTAATTTGAATGTAAATAAGATGAAGAATCAACATTAGCATTAAAAGAAAGCACAGGGAAGAGATAAATACAAGAGTGGCAGGTAAGCAAAGTCTGCAAGTCTAATTATTCAAAAAACATTAAAGAATAAATGTAAGATTTACGTTGTTTTACAACTAATAATTTTTAAGAACGACTGTAAACATCAGCAGTGGATGCAGTGCAGTTTTAATAATATCTATAGATATAATAATAATACTTTATTGATCTCCTAAAAGAGGGTGAATTTAGCTTGTCCCAGCACTGCACATAATAACAACAGTAATAAATAACAATGAGCATATAATGCACACATATTGCTCAGTATATGAAATATATAATCAAGACATACACTCCTGATCAAAATCTTAAGACCAGTCAAAAAATTGCAAGAATTTGCATTTTGCACTATTGATTCTAAGTAGAGCTTCACAATGTTAAAAGAAGAAATCAGCGTAAGAGACAAAAACTTTTGAGCAGGGAATTAATTGAAAACTGCATTTACACTCAAACATGATTTTTTCAGCTGATCAAAAGTTTAAGACCATAGCTAAAAAAAAACCCCCGAAAACCCCCCAAAACAGAAATCAAAGTGTCAAAAAAAAGGACTCAGTTATGAGTAGCTCCACCATTCTTGTTGATGACTTCAAACAATCGTTTCGGCATGGTTGATGCCAGTGTTTCCAGGAGGCTAGTGGGAATGTTGCTCCAAGTGTTGAAGATGGCTTCACGAAGGGCATCCACTGTCTGGAACTGATGTCCATTTTTGTAAACTTCCCTTGCCATCCATCCCCAAATGTTCTCAATTGGGTTTAGATCCGGGGAACATGCAGGATGGTCCAAAAGAGTGATGTTATTCTCTTGGAAGAACTCCTTTGTCAGGCGGGCATTGTGAACTGCAGCATTGTCCTGTTGAAAAACCAGACGAGGGCCCTCAGTCATGAGGGATGCCCGCTGCAACATCTCCACATAGCCAGCTGCTGTTTGACACCCCTGCACAACCTGAAGCTCCATTGTTCCATTGAAGGAAAACGTACCCCAAATCATGATGGCGGCCCCACCACTGTGCCATGTAGAAAACATCTCAGGTGGGATCTCCTTGTCATGCTAGTAACGTTGGAAGCCATCAGGCCCATCAAGGTAAAATTTTTTCTCATCAGAGAAGACAACTTTCTTCCACCTTTCAATGTCCCATGTTTGGTGCAAACGGGCAAGGGTGCACCAAATTAAGCACCAGTAATGGCCTTAATTTGGGTAGAGGATCGTCCAGTGTCTTGACGGACAGCCAATGGGATCCTGCGGCTCAGAGCTGGTGAATTTTTTTGGGTCTACCACTTGACTTTTTTGTTCCATAACCCTCAGGATTATTTAAAAAATGCAAAATGACTGTCTTACTGCCTCCAACCTCAGCAGCGATGGCATATTGTGAGAGGCCTTGCTTATGCAGCTCAACAATCCTACCACGTTCAAAGTCAGTGAGCTTTTTTGCTTTTGCGTCTTGACAGTGTAAAGACTTGACAGAAAATGACATGGAATCCAGATTTTTTGCACAACTTTTGGCTTTTAAACACTATGGTCTTAAACTTTTGATCAGCTGAAAAAATCAAGTTTGAGTGTAAATGCAGTTTTCAGAAAGTTCTTGTCTCTTGCACTGATTTTTTCCTTTAACATTGTGAAGCTCTACTTAGAACCTTCTTAAGATCCAATAGTGCAAAATGCAAATTCTTGCAATTTTTTGACTGGTCTTAAGATTTTGATCAGGAGTGTATATAGATAATATGCTACAGAATATTACATGATAATATAACATATCATTACATGATAATACAAATAATATGCTATGAACCTGCTTTCCTGGCTGCTGATGAAAGCCAGGAAAGCAGGCTTTCATCAGCCTGCTTTCCATCATTGATTTTGCGTTTATGAAAGATTAGGATTCTTAAATTAATGATTCTCTCAACAGATTATTTTTTTGCCTTTGCTGGTGTGTTTTGTACACTTTGTGGTATTTACTTCCCTTTCTCCAAGTCACTGTTTCTGAATTTTTATCGTCTCTCTTCAATTGTCTCATTGTACTACGCTATTCTTAGTGAGCAAAACAAAAGTTTTTTTAGATCATTATTTTTAGAGTATAAATATTCCAGAGGTTAGGTTTTGTTCTTTTAAACTTTGCTCACCTTTAGTTTCTATTGTTGCCAATCCGATCTGGATTTAAATTGTACTTTGGAGTTTGGATTTTAAAGCTTCCATTATTAAATTATTTATTCTTGTTTCCATGAAATCCCTACAGAATTAACTTTTTCTTGTGTATAAAATTAAGTTAGTTTTAGAAATTGCTAAATATTTTAAAAACTTTGTCTCAAACTGACCTACCTCACAGGACAGACAGTTTTCACTAATTTTTCATCTCAGTGACATTGCATGTAAGCTGCAGTATGTTCTATTCTGGTCAGTTTGAGAAGCAGCGTGTGCTTTTGTTTTTCTGTTGTTGTTTTTTTGTCAAGGTTTTTATTGGCTCTAGTGGTCTTTATTTGGAATTGTTAGACAGAAAAGAAGGTAATGAAAAGGGGAAGACATGCAGCAAAGATCACCAGGCTGGGACTCAAACCTATGACGTTCACACCAAGGACTGGATTGTGCTTTGCCCCTGCGCCACCACTGCCAAAATTGGGATGCATAGTGTAAATATGTTTTGAAAAATGTCTATTTTACATGTGTGTAGTTGAGTAAGGGATGTGTAACTTATATGCCCTTATATGAGGGTTGGTTTTTACATGTGTGTAAAATCTGGATAACCAACCTGCCTTTCTTTATTTGATCAGAACCAGAGATGATTAGACAGACTGAAAGACAGCAGAGGGGGATCACTGGAAACTGTGTGGCCCCTGGGGATTTTATAAATGGCACAGCAACAGTTTCCAGAGGGTGACGACAAGACTGACACCTTCCATTCCTCTTTGACAGCTAAAACTTCTCCAGCTTACTTGTTGGAGCTACGGATCGATGTGCATCATTAATTGTTACCTTGGGCAACCCCTACCTAGTGTAAAATGCCATTTTCAATATACTGGAAACAACCGAGCTGCTTTTCCCCGAACGCAGAAGCTGACGTGCAAAGAGTCCCTTGTGGTCAATTAGACAAAATCAGAAACAAAGTTAGCAATACTCTGAATGACCTAAAAATAATTTTTAATATCTCAGAAATCAAAGCTGCACTAACGAAAATTTGAACGGCACAAACCTGCACAAATGGAGCACTAACCCCTCAGACTATTTGCTGGATGTTTTGACGTGGGTGGGGTGTCAGGTTCACTCAGCGGCACACCGCTAGCCTCACCTTGAACAACTGACGCACATGCGCGATGTGCAGGACTGAGCAGCGCACAGGGTGCCATATCCATAGACATAATATAAGAGTAGACCCCGCACTGGCCGCTCCGGCGCAGGAAGTACGGCGGCCATCTTGGAGCGGTATACCCTCCTTCTTTGCTCAATCAAAACAGCAGAAGATGCCTCAGCACTGAGGGACATTGTTGTTCTGATCGATGGATTATTGATGTGAGGGCTCCACAGACAACATTTCACAAGTAAGAAGGACATATTATTGTGATTAGAATATTACTTTACTGTATTTATGTCCATAGGTGAGATACCAGCTAATATTAGCTACAGTGCTTGGTGTAATACGGGTTCAGCCCCGCTATGAAGGCTAACTGAGATTCTGTAAATCTAAAAAAATTAATTATTCTCTAACATTGACTTAGATTATCTGACACAAGAGCCTATATTAGAAATGAAACAATATAACACATATTATAAAACTTATATTATGTGTTATAACATTCACCAGCAAAGTTTACACAGGTGATAAAGACTATTATTTAAATGTAATTCTTTCACTCTGTCAAAAGTAAGATACATCCTAAATCTTCCGTTTTTGTTTTGAAAATTTCCTAAAGACACGATGCGAGGAAGAAGAGGGAGAAATCTATAAAGAGAGACGGATTCACTGCAGCACGGATGAATCTCACATCGGATTTTGGACTCGTCGGCTGAAAAACATAAACATATATATATAAAATTCACTATTAATCAATATTTATTTGTGTTATTATTTTTTTAAATATATATATTTATTGAGTTTTCAAAATACAACATACATAAATCATACACAAGAGTATGAAGCATATACATATTTAACAAATTACTGTATAAGAAAAATATACTCTTACCAATACAGCAGTACCAATAAAAACATACAATAACTAAAAGTAAAAAAATAAAATAAGAACAAGTCAAGGCAATTATCTAAATAACTGGACACAGTGCACTGGTTACCATTTACACTTTAGGATGGTACAACCTGTCTATAAAGGCACAGGTGGCATACTAAGAGACTGAACGAGCGTGAGGGTCACTCTTAGACTGAGAAAGATGGTCCAAAAACGGCTGCCAGATACTACAGAACTTATTAGTGGAGCCCAAAACATCATACCGCAGTTTCTCCAAATGAAGAATCTCAGTGAAATCACTTAACCACATTTTAAACTGAGGAATCTTGTCAGTTTTCCACAATCTTAATATTACTTTCTTAGCCGTTACCATTCCATACATCACAGTCGTTTGCATAGAAATGCTGCGGCTCCTAAGTGAAGGAGAATATCCAAACAATGCAATCTGGGCATCTGGAACCAACGTGCATCCATACACTTCAGAAAACAAGTTAAAAATGTCACACCAATATTGGAAGAGTTTGGGACATGACCAGAACAGATGCGCCAGGGAGCCATCAGCGGACTTACATTTATCACATTTTGAAGATATTGAGTCCTCTCAATATCTTCAAAATGTGATAAATGTAAGTCCGCTGATTTTCTTCCGGAAGAGAAACAAAATTTGGGATGTTAATTCGAACAAAATTTTTAATTTGCAGATATCTTAAAAAATCCGCATCCAGAAGAGAGAAACAACTCTTCAACATTGCAAATGAAGCTAACTTTTTGTTAATATACAAATTTTTCAGCGTAATTAGGCCTTTTAGTCTCCAATTTTTAAATGATATAGCGATGGGAGA